ATTTCTTGCATTTTTTGCTTTGTTTCTTCTTCCATTTCCTGCCTTATTTGGTATGTTTCTTCTTCTAATTCTTGCATTTTTTGCTTTGCTTTTTCTTCCATTTCTTGCATTTTTTGCTTCATTTCTTCTTCCATTTCGTGCCTTTTTTGGTTTGTTTTTTCTTCCAATTCTTGCATTTTTGGTTTGTTTTTTCTTCCATTTCTTGCATTTTTTGGTTTGTTTTTTCTTCCATTTCTTTGAGGGATTTTCCAATATCCTCTTTTAGGGCCTCTATCATTTTCATGAAAGTGCTTTTAAGGTCGTTCTCTTCTGCTTCCTTCGCGTTGGAATATTGGGGTCTTGCTGGTGTGGAGTCTCTAGAATCTGGCGGTGTCATATTTGTTTTTCTGTTGCTGACTGTGTTTTTGTATTGTCTCTTTCCCATCTCTTCTTTTAGTGGGTGCAGAAAGAGCCCCTTCCTGGTCTGGGGACCAGAGTTCCCTTTTGGTGGGTGCTAGTAAGTCCAGTAATCTGGTGGTTCTTCTATGCCTTGTCCAAATGCTGGTCCGTGGGTAGAGAAGAAGAACAGGAATCTGGGGCGCTTAGCCTCCTACCTGGTCCCCTGGACCCTATGCTGGGTCCTGTTGTACCTGATCCGGAACAGCTACTCCCCTGGTCTCCCTGGCTCCTGTAGTTTCCTGGTCTCTTTGGTGGGAGAGAAGATCTGGAGTCTGGGGTGCTTGGCTCCCGCCGGGATTGGGAGCTCTGTGCAGTTCCCAGGCGATCTGCAGGCTCTGGAACACAGGCCGGGAAGCTGGCCTGTTTACCTGATGCTCCCGCTGGGATTGGGAGCTCTGTGCAGTTCCCAGGGGATCTGCAGGCTCTGGAACACAGGCCGGGAAGCTGGCCTGTTTACCTGATGATGCCAGAGGGACAGCTACTTCCCTGTGCGCCCAGCCTCCTCTCCTTTCCTGGAATCGTTGGTGGGAGAGAAGATCTGGAGTCTGGGGTGCTTGGCTCCCGCCGGGATTGGGAGCTCGTACAGATATTTCTTAAGCAGTTATTTAAGAGGAATCAACAACATACAACGTGAAAGAATATACTTGTTAAAAATGATGTTTGGAGTGACAGACTTTGATTCTTTCCCTATGGAAGACCTCACCCTCCCTGAGGAGTGGATAGGGGGTTGATGGGGGCAAGGGGAGTGGGAGGATGGGAAGGAGAGAGAACTGGAATTTGTGTTTTGAATTTAATTAATTTAATTTAAATAAAAATTAATTAAAATGATGTTTGGGAAGTGATCTGTCAATCACAAGCCTCTCAAATCAAATGCTAAAATTAACTACAGTAAATCTTGTTTTTATGGAATTCTTTTTAAGGACTGGAATTGCCTGCATTTTAAATCACAAAACATTCAACCAAATCGGGCCACTTCAGTAGCCTTGGTTCAACGAATTGGGCTTATTCCTAATGGCCATCTTCCAGTCTCGTTGCAATAAAGTTTATAGCTTCTTGGGATAAAGATGAAACTCCTCAAAAAGTTGCTGCCCAAGTCTATAGTGGCATAGTTAGCACTATGCCTCTCTGGTTTCGTTTTTTGTGAGATAGGGTCTTACCATGAAGCCCAGGCTGGACTCCAAAATCTGCCTCAGATTCCCAGGATTTAGGATTACAGGAGAGCAACTATATTTTAAATGTTGAAATTCAGAGAAAAATGGTGCTCCCCCGTGGAACTACAAAAATCACCTTTTGGTTTTGGTTTTGTTCCCAAAGTTTTCAAAAGAACATTGTGGTATGTCAGTATTACTATCTACAGTTTGTAATTGAGGAGACAAAAACCCAGAGAAGGGGTCCAGGGTCTTACAGCCAACCAGAGTTCTGGACTGGAAATTCTCATCTTAAATCTAATGTTCTTGCCACAGTACCCATAACCACTTCTAGTTTAGAGAGCCATAGATGCTATGTTCAACATTCAAACCTTCTCTAACTTTTAAAGTACTGAGTGCCTAAGCTGAAATTCCAATCATGAAGCCAAACTTCTCAAGGGCAGCAGCACAAACAGAACAAAACAAAGTAAAAGAAAAGCAAATATAAAAAACAACAACACACACACACACAAAAAAAAACCTGTCAGCCACCAGCCAACCTTCCATTCCCTCTGTGTGGTTCAACCCCAGAAGGTGGTCCTTTGCTTACACTGCTTGTAAGCTCTGCCCAAAGACATCTGTCCTTAGGTGTTAGATGGAATCACCCTTAAACTTTGTATCAAGAAACCCACGAAACTTCTCAGATCTCGGATGCTTTAGAGACCATCCACACCCCTGCTTCTTAAAACTGCACCCTTTCCCATGCTCCTCTTGCTTCAGTTGTTTGTGCTGTTATACTTTGCCATTGTTTATTGTTTATTATTATTTATTGCACACTAGGCAAGCACTCTAACACTGAGCTGCATCTCGGCATTTTATGTTTTTAAGAGTGACATTTCATGTCCATCAGTTAACTGTTCCCTTGTCTATCCCCAACTCCATCAGCTTCTGGAATTCCCTAGGCCACCTCCCAGATCAGCTACAATTTCTTTTCTCATCTTTGGGCCTGCTCAACAAAATAGACTTTAAAAATCTTACCCAACGATAAAACGCCTCTTGGTGGAGGAAGCAATACCTTTCTCTCTCTCTGCTACCTTTCTCTTAGGATTGTGAGAGCAAAAAATTAGACTGGATAGGGGTGAAGAGTACAGAAAGGGAGCTAATGGAAAGTGAAACAGAAAAGAAGAAAATGTACAGCCGAAATCAAATTAACAAAACAGAAGATAAAGGAAGAAAATGGAAAAAGCAAGAAACAAACAAACAAAAACCCTGGGTCGTGGGGTAACAAGTTTGTTTTATGCATGTCATCTCATTTAAAACTCACACGTTTTAGGTCAGTAGTTTAGAGTGATCATCCTTATTCCATAACTAGGTGAAATGCCATGACACTGTGGAACCAGGGAGTAGAATGTGATCATTTTCATGACAATGTTCCCCACGGGCTCATGTTCTTGAATACTTCGTCCCCAGTTACAGGCATTTGGTGAGGTTTAGGTGATGATTTGACCTTTCAAGAGGAAGTACTTCCCCAGGATGGGCACTGAGATTAAAAAGCCTCACCTACTCTTTCTTTCATGCTTATCTCTGAAGATATGAGCTCTCAGCCTCCCACCACTTGGCCATGCTTCCACTCTGCCATCAGGAACTCTTATCCCCTGGAACTACAAGCCAAGGTAAACTCTATCTTCTTGAAGTTACCTTGGCCATGGTGTTCTATCACAACAACAAAAGCAGCTAACAGCAATTGCTACGGTTAAAGTAAGATCAGAGTCATTTGACAGAAAGCTACGACAGGCATTGAAAGGCCATTATCTCAGCATGAATGGTTTGCCTGAGGTTACATAGCTGGTGAATTACACGGTAGAGGTTCAAACTCAGAACAAACATAGAAACAAGACAAACTAAAGGGGGCAGCAGTGAGTGGAAACTTACTGGACTAAGGGAAATAAATGGTGAATAGAATAACAACAGTCCCTTTACAGCAGAGCCTTGCAAGGGGTCAACAGCAGCATGAGTCAGAGCACATTTTCCAAACTCATTTTACCTAAGTATTATGAGATCAGCAGAAAGTAGCAACCAGATAGGTTAACTACTCCACAATCTTCTTCCAAATTTAGGGAACTCCTAATGCATTTATGGAAATGCATAGGACAAATATCTGTCAAATGGGAAGTAGAAAGAAATACAGCAAATGTGTCTAAAACAAATAGTATCAATGGCATTGGCCTGAGTGGTATGCACCTTGGTTTATAAAAAAGCCCTGGGTATTTTGTTCCTCAGAAATCACCCTGACAGACAAAATCCCCAAGAACAGGAAGAGGACAACTGCTGCAAAAGTATTTATCACCCCAAACCACAAAACATTCGGGAAGGGGAAGACAAATAGATCTTTCTAAGTATCTTAGCCGCCTGTTCCCTCTGAGACTGATTTGTAAGTGAGCTTACCACAATAAGCATCCCTGTTGAGTCTTACCCAGTGAAGGAAATGCAAACTTCTCAGCTGGTCTGGACTTAGCCTGTTGCAATGGTTAGGAAGGGATCCTTTATCTTCTTTCACGGGCTAAGAGCCTAAGCTTAACAATGGGAAGCTTGCTTACTGGTGAGGAAAGATAACCACATTTTAACGCAAATAAAATCTTTTGCTATCCAGATCTCTGAATGCTACCAGTTTTTTTATCTTTATAACACCCTAACATAAAGTTGACTCTCTGACGGTTCTTGGTTTTAGTACATGAAACTTTCTTGATCCTTGCTGTGGGATGACTTGACATTTCACATAAGTGACATCCTGATTACTGGGACAACTGTCCATTTCATCCTACAGAGTCACTGGTTTAATACTCATTAACAAGCAATCAATCATATAAAAATTACCTACCATTTGAGTCCTATCACAGACCCTTTCTAGTTGATTCAAAGTCAAGTCTATCTGGGGGACAACCCCTTGGAACTTTTTTCTTACAGATGTCTTCTAAGCTTTAGCACACAGCATCCCCCATGATGAACAGCGCAGACCTTTTAAGGGAAGTTGGTTTTGTATGCAGACGTATTCTGCTTACCGTGTAATTCTTAGGAGCCTTTGAGGAACCTACTGCAGTCTCCTGGGATGTATGTGCCACAATGAACCTAGTTCATTGTCATCTAAGGGAACAGCCACATAAAGGAGATTTACTAACATTTCAGAGCCAAGAACCTTGGGTTTGGAGACTAAGGATGAATTATTTGATTGTTCTTGAGTGTGCAATTACAGTGAGTAGTCAGGACTATTGGTTTTCTTGTCTAGATATAAGCCGACTGGAATTTAACAAGCAGTTATACAATTCACTCTCCTAATTAATGATCACAATGAAAGAACAATCCACATCTTTAAAGAATTTGGCAACTGACATAAAATACAAGCATAACAAATGAAGCTGTCATTAGCAAAGCACATACCTGAGGAGGAGCCTCGCCCAAATCTGGAACTCAGAATAGGTTTGCACCCTGGCAAACAGGGAACACTGGGCAGCTATAGGTAGGTGTATAGGAAATACCTACAACCTTTACTGACTTCAAAGTCTCTGAGATGAGAAAATAGAAGGTCCACAAATGGCTGAGAAGTGGGAAACTGTCAGTAGGAAAGCTGTCAGAAAACAACTAAGGGTTCTCTCTGAGACTCCTGGGCTAAGAGTTTCTCCCTCCGTGCTCTGAAGAAATGCTTGTAGTTAAAACATCCACCACTTCAGATGCCACCTGAAATCATTCCATAGTGTGTACTCAATCAGTCAAAGGGCACTTCTGTTTTGTTTACAAAGTTCCCGGGAATGGGAGTCTCACAAGAAGAGCTATCAGGACTCTGACAGTCAGGGAAGACAGCCTGGAAACAGAGCCTATGGAACAGCAGCTGAGGTGGGAGGGTGCTGATGGGGAGCAGACCATGGCCAGCACGTATCTACCAGACAAGTTCATGCCAAAGGGCTGCTGGGGAATAATATTTAACCCAACACATAAAAAATAAAAAGACCACGTCCAAATGCCCCAAAATGAAAATGTGTTTCTTTGTCAAAATCACATACACCATAAGAGCACTGTCATATATTGCTGGGCAAGGACAATCTTACATATCATTTACAGTCCTTTTATGAAAATATAGTGCATTTCATTTTATTACTACTTTTTATATGAAAGAAATCTGGAAAAATATCTTTGAAAAAAATCTAATAAGGCAAACGACAGAGATCTGACTTCACATTCTGGTTCTGCTGCTCCAGGCCTAGAGCATTGCCTCATACTTATCTTACTTATCCTTTGTTTTCTTCAGCTAGAAGTTCAAAGGGTAGAGCCAGGGAAGTGGCTCATCCCCTAAAGACCTCATTTGATCTCTGAAAACCAAGCAAAACCACCAAACGTGGCAGCACATGGGTGTAATCTCAGCACCCCTGCAGTGAATCAACACCCCTGCATTGACTCAGCACCCCTGTAGTGAATTGACTCCCCTGCAGTGATTCAGCTTCCCTGCAGTGAACGGTGCACCCCTACAGTGAACGGTGCACCCCTGCAGTGAATCAGCACCCCTGCAGTGAATCGGCTCCCCTGCAGCAGAAGTGAGAGGCAGAGGCAGGATGATCACCCAAAGCTCATGGGCCAACTAGGCTGTGGTACACTACACAGCAGAAACGGAAGAGAGGTGCCTCAGTAAGGTAGAAGGAGACACCACTCCTGAAAACTGTCCTCTGATCCTCACATACATGCTACGGCATGCACACTTCCGTACTCATACACATATCACACATGTACACACACACAGACACTAATAATAAATAGTAATAAGCAAGTTTTTAAAAGAAAATGCAAAGTCCGGACTAGAGGATCCCATAATTACCATCCAGTTCTAAGACTTACATACACCTAAATTCTTGTAAAATTCTGACCTGCTTCCATGCATTCTCTGTGTATCTTGAATCCAAATGTCTTGGCAAACTCTTAACTGCTTAGTTTTTCCAATATTTTAAATACTAGAGCATAGCCAGTGTCAGGAAGGCCATATCTAGATGGTCATCTACAGAAGTGAAAGCCAGTTTTCAATTTCACGAAAAGCAAACCTGTACTCCACATATGCTATCCTCGGGCTTTCTGTTGCCTGCACATGTTGAAAACCCAAGTCATCAAACTCATCAGTAAACCTCTGGGAACTGAGCACTGACAGGTCTCAGTCACCAACACTTGGTTGGGGTGGCTCAGTCAAGAAACAATGAAACCTCGGTTCTGAAACACAGACAGCTTTGCAGAAGAAAAGGGCTGCCACTACAAGCTGGACTTGACTCTCACTACTCTGTATCTTAAACAGAAGTGATAAAGGAAAAAAAGGGTCGGGAAAGACAGCTGGTTTTTTAGGCATAAGATGGGCAGAGAGATTGCCTCTGCATACTTTAATCCATTCTCAGGCTAATTCAGAACATAGGGTAGCAAAGTCGGGCACATGCACACAGACCCCTGTGAAGACGCCACATATCATGTCACCCACTGTCACTCCATTACGTGATTCTCGTATGTAAGCAAGGGTGATTTTCTTATTGGAAAGAATAAGGTTGAGTGGGTTTGCAGACTTTGTCACAGTTGTGGGGGAAATGGCACTCTTTGCAAATGAATAAAGTTTAAATTTCACTAGAAGCATCATCTCTGAAAACAGGAAAGTCTTCTTATAAAAACAATTTTATAGTCACTGCAGAACAGCGATCAGCGAGTGCTGAGAGCTTTATTATCTTTCTGGGAATTCCCAAGCTGCCAGCTCGCACGGGAATTTCAAAGGGTTCTCCGTTTCCACGATGCCGTGACGTGCACTACGGCCAAGTTAAAAGCCACAGGCGCACAGAATGCTCATCAGAGGCTGTCAAAACTGAGCTGGAAACAAGTCAAAGACAAAGCAGACAGCCCCGATCTGAATCCTTTGGAGGGGAAGGAGAGAGGGAAAGCAGCTGCACATATCTTTGCAAACAGAATCCAACTTACCTTTCTTGCGCAGAAATCCAGGACTCTTGGCTAACTGGCCCGCAGTGATTCCCCCAAGTGGATCTGCCTGAAACCAAGGGGCACCGGGAGCTTCCCAGGAGAAGTTCTCACCTCCACTTGGCTCTGTTAATGAGCAGCTTACAGGCTTCTCTCTCAACACTGAGTCATGCAGGGAGGAGGTGGGCGGTGTGAAGAGGGTGTTGCCATGTACAAATACCAGCTCAACAAAAACAGTCTCATTCACCGGCCCACTGTCTCTGTTGGTGAGTTCCTCGTATAACTTGGGGGCTATGCCCCAAACGCTCTTGTTGTCACTCTTAAATGATATCCACGACACACAATACTGGCAAGCTGGCATCCCAGCCAACCACTTGTGAATACGCTTTTTAAAAACAAAGAAAAAAGCACATAGAAGGAATCTTTCCCTCATCCCTACCCATACTTCTCGGGAAAGGGAATATCTGCATGAACTCTGGGACCAGAAGGTGCAGAAGAATCCTTTATAGAAATTCCACGTGAGGAACATTTTATAGAGACATCAGAGGAATATTATACCCCAAACGTAAGAATCCTCATCCTTGTATTGTTACACAATACTTTTTTTTTAATGAAATGTAAAAGAGTTAGCAAGATGGCTCAGTGGATAGAGGCGCTTGCCGCCATGCCTGATGACCTGAGTTTGAACCTCAGGACGCATACGGTGAAGGGAACAAACGGATTCCTGCAGGTTGTTCTCTGACCACGTACAAACTCTAACATTCACATCCAAACATTTTAATTAATGTTTAGTGCAATAGGAACGATTAAAAGTTCTCTTACAGCTGATGGTGGTGGAGATGCCTACACCAAAGCCACTTCTGTTGTAAGGAGACAGGATACAGCAGAGCATCCTGGATGGGGGTTCCTCTCACAGACACTGAAATGTATCTTTCATAACAGCAAGGAGGATTTAAGGAAGCTTAGCATTACCAGAATATTGCTAAAGGGAACTGGATCATCTATGTTTCCTGGGTCATCTTAATTCGTCAGCACACCAACGATTACCCTCCTTAAGGCTGCTCCTAAAAACTGCGGTCCAGCTTGGCTGTGCCTGTGACAAGAATAAGAAGTAGGAACATCCATGTGGGAAGGCCAGGCAGTGGCAGGATAGATTGTAACTGATCACTTTCTGATTGCGGGAGATGGCTTCCTGAATGGTCCTTAATTCTAGGCTGAGGGATTTGAAAATCTAAAGCAAAGGTTATTTTCACAGTGAAGCACATAGCTTTGAGGTATGCAAAATATTTATATCTTATTTTGTGTGTGTTTATGTGTGTGTGTGAGGGCAAGGAGCTGTTTGCAGATATCCATGTAGGTGTACATGCAATGATCTCACGTGTCTTTCCCGGTTGCTCTCCACCTTAGACAGGGTTCCTTGCTGAAGATCTCCAAGGATCCCCTGTCTCTGTTCCCACTACGGCTGGGCTAAGGTTACAGACACCCCCACTGTTCCCACCTTCCCATGGGTGCAGGGGTACTGAATGCAGGTCTTCACACTTCGCTGCATGCACTCTACTGAGACATCTCCCAGCCCCCTAGACTACTTTTACAATAAAATTTAAATTTGTGCCATCTTGATAAGCATTTGTTAGAGGGAGGTTGGATGTTACTAACCCCCCATTAGAAAACTGGAAAACAAAATGTCACCTATCTCCTACAAGATCAAGCCAATCAAAATCCCCGCCTCGATGAGGTAGATGGTCTCCAGGCCTCACCCCATACTGAGGAATTACTGGTATCACAGAGTTACTGTGGAGGGAGAGTCATTCTTTATTAAGGACAGGACAGCTGGTAGGTTTCCCATGCTCCAGCAGATGGTCCCACACCCATGTACATGTGAACAGTACTAGCTGGACTTAGTATGTTATCAAAAACTGAAAGAGAAAATACATAAAACTGGAAGGGGGCATGAGGAAGAGTTAAAGGGGACAGTGGAGATAGGTATGACCACATTTCATTGCATACCTGTATGAGGAGGTCAAAAACAAAGAAAAGCTTCTAAAAATAAAATAGTCATAGTCAGCATTAGAACTTGGTTAAAACTGGGAGAATGAACAGCTCCAAGCTATCTTGTATGGGCAAGTAGTAACTTATGTTATAGAATGTTTAGATATATGGTTTTGTCCCTCATAAAATACAGAAGAAGAAAAATGGGATTTTACCTCATATTGAGGTTAAAAAATAGCTGTCCAAGATACATTTGAGGTATTTGAGTTTACAAACAACAACTTCTTTGAGCAATTAGAGTTTCTTCTCCCTTGTGTATCAGGACATCCAGTTCACTAAGCCAGACCAGTATCTTTCAACTCTGATTTAAAAGTGGACTCTTTCCAAACACTTGGCCGAAACCCAGACTTCTTCATATTGAAGAGGCTTTCTTCAGTGTAGCTGTCTGAAACTCATGAATTCCGAGGAGTGTAGAGAGGTCAAACACGAAAGTGTCTGGGTGTGGTAGTAGCCAGGAAGGCATGACCTCAGTTTCACTCCAGCCTGAATTGCAAAGCCCTGACAATGCTTAGAATAACCAAGCTTGGTCAGGCCCATTGTACAGTGAGCTCCCAATCTAAACTTAGAAACTGCAATGGCAAAGGTTTTATGTCA